TTTTTGTAAAAATGAATCTGTGAATAAGTGAATAAATAAATAAATAAATAAATTTTAAGAAATAAAAAAACAACTACTCACTCGACATAGTCAAAGTCTATAGTGGAGTGCTCAGCCTGGATGAGAGCCCAGACTCCCCAGAAGAAGTGAGCGGCCTGTGAGGAAAGACAAACAAACAAACAAACACACACACATTAGAACAACAACGGTGATTTGTCTCAACAATGAACATTAAAATTTGTGTGTGCCCTAGAAAAAAGTTCCCACTTGTCGGCAAAGCTATTTTTGAGCAACGCACTGAAAAGGCAAAAAAAGTCGCACCTGGTCAAAAATTTCGTTTTGTCAAAAAACACACTATTAACCATTTGTAATAACATTATTGAAAGGATTTTATCATATTTTAAGTCCAGTTTAATTTTAGTAAGAGTTTTACGGTACTTGCAACACAAAAAAGTCATATAAGGGCTGCAGATTAGATGTATTTTTTTTTTAGTAGAGGGTTTTACGGCGCTCGCAACTGCATAAGGGCATACGAACGCCAGATTAGATGTATGTGTTACAAGAGAAGTAACAAACACACAAAGGAAGGAGGGGAGATAAACATGATAGATGTTGGTTAGGAAAGCAAGAGAAAACCACCCCAGAGCATCCACCAACCACCCACTCAGCATTCTTGCTGTAAGCACGAAGTCACTCACACAAGCACACTTGTTGGTCTGGACGTAGAGGCGCTCCACATCGCGCTCGCTGACGCGCGTCGCTGGCTCACCCGCGACCTTAGCCTTCGTCTCCAGGTAGTGTCTTAACCAGGTCAGCTGCTCCTCCCGGCCGGGGTAAAGGTCGTAATTCACCTCATCCATCCCTGTGAAAACAAAGGGTAAAGGTCGTAGTTAAACACAAAGGGAAACGGTCGAAGTTAAACACAAAGGGTCAAGGTCGTAGTTCACCTCATCCATCCCTGTGAACAATAATTATAATACAGTAGTCTCCGTCTAAGATCCCCGTGCTCGGGAGCAAGGAAAATGCGGGATCTTAGGCGAACCGGGATCTTAGCCGACGAACCCATGGAAGAATCTACGGTGACCCATGTTAAGGCTCATATTCGGAAAAATGATCTCCCTCCACTCTAAAATTATGAACTGACGTGCCCCCTGGGTGGGTTTATGACATACGGCGAGCAAAGAGTGGTTCACCTTGATGACTTATCACAGTGTAGAGTCAACAACATTTAAGCCACATATCAAAAGAACGTACAACACACACGAACATACGGGAAAATCACAAACGCTACGGAGGAGCAGAAGTAACAAGCCGCAGAAGAGCAGCCACCGAACACCTGCCCAAAAACTACAACGGTAACAAATTCAAACAAATCTCAGGAACAGACAGTACAAAAGGCAAGCCTTTGACGGTGTAAAACTGCGGCACTTACCTGCGTACTCCGCAAAATGGTTGCCTATGTCAAAGGCCTCGTAGTTGTAAAAGGCGTATTCGTAGTCGATGAACCTTAGCGTGTCTGAAATGAGACAAAATGGGGGGGAAATCAAATTGAGGAGGAAAACATCACCCCTCCCAGTATCTGTACACGGTACTCATCACAAAAATAAGAAAAAACATCAACGGTGACAATATCTTAGTCTAATTTAGTTTTAGTAGAGATTTTACGGCGCTCACAACTGCATAAGGTCATATGAGCGCCAAGGGGTGGATGCCAATAAAGAGGGGAGAGGGGGAGGAGGCGGTGAGGAGGCGATGAGGAGGGTTCCTCTTGCTTCAATGAGGGATGGGGAAAGGAGAGAGGGGGAGAGAGAGAGAGAGAGGGGGGAAGGAGTCCCTTGCTTCACTGATTTCATCAATACTCAAGTCTGAAAATTCTAAACAGCAAAAAAAAAATCAAGTATTGATCACAAAACAGTTGATGAAAGTAACAGCTTGTGCAGCTAACCTGCCCCTCTCTCCATTCCCCTCCCCTCCCCCTCAAGCCTCTTTCCCTCCCTTCCCCTCTACCTTCACCATCCCTCTCCATTCCCCTCTTTTCCCCCTCCCTCTCCCCTCCCCTCCACCTCTCTCCATCCCCCTCTTCCCCCTCCCCTCGCGCTCTCTCCCCTCCCTGTCCAGCCTCCTCCCTCTCCCCTATATTATTCGGCAATTTCTGTAAATCAGTATACTGCCATTGTTGTAAAGAAATATGACCTAACCGTAGACACTGGATCACTGGCACAGTGGTTCTGACCGGCCGCAAACTGTTGAGGGGGGAGACTACTTGCCGGAGATGAGGAGTCGACAATGAACCAAACTGGGAACAAGGCGACGTTAGACTTACCGGTCTTCTCGTTATAGATGATGTTCTTGTAGGCCTACTGTAACGCTTTCAGAACCCCCAAACATAACATCTCAAACATAACATCTCAAACATAACATCTCAAACATAACGTCTCAAACATAACATCTCAAACATAACATCTCAAACATAACAATAACATCTCAAACATAACATCTCAAACATAACATTAGGAACAAGATGACGTTTGACTTACCGGTCTTCTGGTTGTAGACGACGTCCTTGTAAAGTTTCCAGAACCAAAACAAAACATTAAGAATAAGGAACAAGACGACATTTGACTTACTGGTCTTCTGGTTGTAGATGATGTTCTTGAGCAGCAGGTCGTTGTGCGAGAGGACGGCCTTCATGCCCAGCGCCTCCAGCTGGCCCACCAGTTCCTCCAGCTCTCGCTGCAGTCGCTCTTTGCTCGGGATCAACTTCTCAAATCTGGAAGGAAGGCCGAGGGGTTTGGGAGAGTAAATGTGAGGCAGCGTGGTGAAATCAGGCGCTCGTCAAAATAATGAAAGTGAAGAAATTGGCATTTTTACTCAGGTTTGGGAATTTTTATTGAATTTTTGTTTTTGGGCTCAGCACCTTCCATGTCAATTGAAGAACAAACTTCTGTGTGGATTGTACTGAAAAAAGTCAATTAAAGGCATACAAAATGTAAATTTTCTGTTTTCACTGACCCTCTAGCTAAGTAAATATCTAAACTTTGACGGTCATTTTATCGGTAATTTTACCTCTGAGACCAGGCGACCCCCATCTCCTTCAATCCTAAATATCTTGACTTGTATTCAAGATAAATAAGATAAATGGATATTTTTTTCATCGAAAGCAAGACAAATGAAAAAGCTTTAAGATGACTCCAATAACTCCACATGCCCAAAAATAGACGTGTGCCTGATTCCACCGTGCCGTGACACAAATGGTCTGAATATATTGAGGCAGTAGCTCAATTTGTAAACGTCATATGGTAAAAATATCTTTCAGTTTTAGTAAGAGTTTTACAGCACTTGTAACATAAAAAGGTCATATAAGTGCATGTCTGTCTCTATACTTACATTAACCCTCTGTCTCTATATTTACATTAACCCTCTGTCTCTGTATCTACATTAACCCTCTGTCTCTATATCTACATTAACCCTCTGTCTCTATATCTACATTAACCCTCTGTCTCTATATTTACATTAACCCTCTGTCTCTGTATCTACATTAACCCTCTGTCTCTATATCTACATTAACCCTCTGGCTCTATATCTACATTATCCCTATGTCTCTATATCTACATTAACCCTCCCTCTCTCTATATCTACAGTAACCCTCTGTCTCTATACCTACACTAACTCTCTCTGTCTCTATATCTACATTAACCCTCCCTCTCTCTATATCTACTTAACCCTATGCCTCTAAGCCTACATTAACCCTCTATATCTACATTAACCCTCTGCCTCTGTCTCTACATTAACCCTGTCTGTCTCATGCTCTTACTGCGCCTGTTTCTGTGGGTCGTCGAACCGCGTCGGGGCCGCGTCCAGATACGACTGAGTTCTCTCCTTGTACTGCGAGGGAACTTGTCCGTCGAACGACTCAGCGTACCGCCCCCGCACGTTGTGAAGTTTCACCATCTCCTCCGCGATCAGTCTGGGGAGAATTTCATTTAGTTAAACAAAAATAGTGACATCATCATACAGTACCAAATTTGCTCGCTTTCATTAACATCCTCACCACACATCCACTGTTCTGTCTTGGGAGTCTGGTGCTAAACTGAATCAAACAGATGGTGCAAGACCCACACACAACAACAACAACAACAACAACAAAAACACCACGACCTCCAACAACAACAAAAAGAACAAAACCACCACCAACAACAACAAACACATCTCCACCAATAACAATAAACAACAACAACAACAAATAACATCACTTACTACCAACAACAACAACAACACCACCACCAACAACAACTACAAAAAACATCACACCAACAACAAACAACAAAAACAACAACAAATAAAATCACTACCAACAACAACAACAACACCACCACCACCAGCAACAACAACAACAACACCACCACCACCAGCAACAACAACAACAACATCACCACCACCAGCAACAACAACAACAACCATCAACAACAAGAAGACAGAAAGCGACAAACAAACAAACAACCCACTTGCGTATGACAGGCTCACGAACAGACTTCTCGTCCAGGGGTTTGCCGGGGAAGAATCCGTAGGACATTCCGTTGTTGAAGACACAGTAGACGGACGGAGCACAGCCTGCACTGCTTAGGACCTGGGGGGAGTGAGTGAGGGAGTGAGTGAGGGAGTGAGTGAGTGAGTGAGGGAGGGAGGGAGGGAGTGAGTGAGTGAGTGAGTGAGTGAGAGAGGGAGTGGGAGAGATATAAATTGGACCTACAAGTGGTGGTTTCTCAGTCAAGTCAGTAATGCTGTCCCCCCCCCC